TGATTTTCAGTGGCACTCACACTGCCCAGGTCCTGGCCACCGGTCTGGGGGGGCTCTGCATTTTAATTTAATTTTAAATGAAGCTTCTTAAACATTTTAAAAACCTTATTTACTTTACATACAACAATAGTTTAGTTCTATATTATAGACTTATAGAAAGAGACCTAAAAGCGTTAAAATGTATTACTGGCACGCAAAACCTTAACTTAGAGTGAATAAATGAAGACTCGGCACACCACTTCTGAAAGGTTGCCGACCCCTGGTCTAACTAAAGATTTTGGGTTCAATATAGAGGTATCCGGGTGAAATGTAAGGGTATGTGATATGCAGGAGGTCAGACTAGATGATCTAATAGTTCCTTCTGGCCTTATAATCTATGAAACGACGAAATAATAATATTTTTCTGCTTTGAATATCCAGTCCATGAGCTTAATAGAGATTGGGAACCCTTCGCAGAGTTTGGAGAATGTATGTCGCTGGGCCTATCTACAACAGAAGCCTGACACTGCACATGCAGAATATCATGACCATGCTATTTTTCTCACAAGGCAGGATTTTGGTCCATCTGGCATGCAAGGTAAGGTATATGCTGAGTGATAAAATTTCTTATAAATATTACAGTTACTGATTGGGGTTTCTTTCACCGTTCAGAAAAAGCTAATTTATCGTAGGAGCCACTAACATTTATCCTTAGTGTGAGTATTTTGCCAAGTGCTATTTGTTTTCAGGTGACCTATACTAAGAATGCATTCCTTTCTAACTGTTTCAGTCCCCATTGTTTTACCTCTCCATTTCAATAGCATTATTTTGGGGCACATGTAGGGTGACCAGACAGCAAGTGTGAAAAATCAGGATGGGGGAAGGGGGGCCTATATAAGACAAAGCCCCAAATATTACGACTGGCCCTATAAAATCAGGATAACTGGTCACCCTAGGAACATGTCTTTACTCTTATTCAAGCCAAGGAAATCTTATTGCTTTGATCACTGTATGTAAGTTATATAAGGTGTGTATATTGCTTTGATCCCTGTATTTAAGGTAGGGGGTGTGGGTGTGTAAAATTATATATATAGGTTTTGCTAAGGAGTAGATTGTGCCTTAAGGCACAGCTCCAGAATAGTCATTGTAGTACTCCACCAGGAGATCCCAGAAATATTGTGCTTTAATAGATGCTTATTATTGAAGGGGCCTAGAACAGCATAGACAAGAGCAGCCCCTGCTTTTACCCCTTTACAGGGCATAGCTCCCTTGTGGAATCATCCTGTTGGCTGATTAGAGAGCATGAGGCTCCTCCCCACTCCATTTGGATTGACTAGTGCCACTGTTGGCATTGGCCAAGAGCCCTCTTGGTACCCATTGAGGACTTGAACTGTATGAAGCCCCTATGATGTCATGCTAGAGTAGAGGCCTTGTCCTCGCTCTCTGTACCCCTTCACAAGACAAGCTTCAGAATGGCCTTAAAGGAGATTACACTGAATTCTTGGTGAACTGTGAAAATAAATGTAATTGGTTCAACAGCCAGACTTCATGTCTTTTATAGAAGTGGGAGCACATGATTAAAAGTCCAGGGCAGAGATCTCTTGTTACCTTTCAAAGCAGTATTTCAGTTGTATCCAATCCATGCATGATCTAGGAAATTAATGTGCTTGTTCACATGGGATAATACTTGATTGACTTGGAGCCAGGTTTTATGTTTCTTCTAGATAGGCACCATGTACACCAGCATAAAATGAATGTATTTATTCCTAGTGTGCATTGTCTTCAGTAGACATGTGACTGGTTATCTGCCAGGTAGTGTAGTGTTGAACAAGGTGTAGTGAGTGTGCAAACATTTATGCCTAGAGTTGAATCTCAAATACTGTTACCTTCTTATGTAAAGACCCATGTGTCTCAAGACTAAACAGCCTGCATTCACCCAAGAAAAATGGTTACTCAATATTATTTGAGAACAAGGAGAAATACTCTAGCGGCATTATAACGTAGTAGTGGCAATGTGGTCTACTGGTTTGAACATGGGGCTAGGAACCAGAAATTTTTAGTTTATAACCCCAGCTCTGAGTCATTATGGATATATCTACACTGGAATAAAAGATCTGCAGCATGGCTGTAGCTGCCCAGGTCAGCTGACTCGGACTTGTGGGGCTAAAAATCACCTTGTAGACATTCGGGCTCTGGGACCCTCCCCCATCATTGGATCCCAGAGCTCGGGCTCCAGCCCAAGCCTGAATGTCTACACCCCACAGCCCGAGCCCCACAAGCCGGAGTCAACTGACAGGGCCAGCCGGGGGTGTTTAATTGCTGTGTAGCCATACCCTGAGTGGCCTTGGAGAAGTCGTTCAGCTTTGTGTGCCTGTTTCCCCATCTGTACAAAATGGAGATAATAATGCTTGCTTGCTGACATCACAGGGCTGTTATGAGGATTCAGTATTTAGGGCCAAGATTGTCCACAGTGTAGTTCAGGATAGAATTTGGCCCTTAATATTCATTCAGTGCTTAAAATAATGTAAAGCACTATGTGGCTGTTAAGAACTCATTTTAAATATGAATAGTGTAAAGTGGGTCTAGGAGGACATGTTAGTTTAGGACATGTAACACTATGCTTCTCCCTTTCTGGAAGCCTGATGATGACACTTCTGTAAGTACCACTTCTGTGCTGCTGCAAGACCACAAGTGCCCAGCAGTAGAGATTAGATGAAAGTGTTGTATAAAGAGTTCTCATAAACATTCTCTCACCCAGATTCACTTATTTCTTGAGTCATGCTTTCTCTGTTTAGGCTATGCTCCAGTTACTGGAATGTGTCATCCTGTACGAAGTTGCACCCTCAACCATGAAGATGGTTTTTCCTCTGCATTTGTGGTGGCCCATGAAACTGGGCATGTGTAAGTACTTTAAAAGGTCCTATCTTATTATGTCTTTGATGCTGGAGACTGTTTGTGGTCGTTGGGAAGGTGTGTCCTTGTGCTTAAGACAGAAGACTAAAGAGTTAGGCCTAGATTCCATTCTTAGCACTGACAAAGAATTCCTTTGTGACTTTGGACAAACCCATTAAACACACTTAGTTTTTGCAGCTGTAAAATGGAGGCATGCTTACCTATGTCACAGGCGCATTCTGAGGCTAAACTGATTAATGCCTACAAAATGCATTCCGATCTCCTGGCAGAAGAGCAACATATTTATTGTTATGCAAAATAATTTATTTGCTATAGTGGAAGACATGACTCTCGAAAGCAGTTCTCAGGAAACATAGTCACGTCTTCTATGTGTGCATCACCTTGTAGTAATACTGTATAACACCTCATAGAGGGTACACTGTATGTTACAGCATAATAATATATGCCAAGAACTGAAGCTACATCCACTTCCTAATACATTCATTTGAAGGATACGACTATTTTGTTTGCTTGTGTAGTAAGAACCAGTGTCCAGGCAGGGAGCTGGCAAATCTTTTGTTATTTTAGGATGACTCAGTTTCTTCAGGAATAAAACACATTCATTTAGATGCCCTCATCTCCTCAGTGGAATCACAAATCCCAGAAGTTTTCACTGAACGGGGCTTTACTGTTCCTACATTAAGAACACTTGTCAGAGTCCGGTGAATCCAACAGTGCATATTAATTAAATAGGGACACAGAATTGATTCCTACATGTATTTGGTTCTCACATCACTAACCTTTGGCTTCATCATTTCAGCAGCTAGGAACATGTGATCAGAATGGATGATACATCACTAAAGATGTCTTTAGCTTTTGAAATCACCTTTAGTCTGAACATGTTACCATACAGTTAGTTATCAGTGATGTGTCTCCTGAAAGAAGACCCCAGTATCAGTCAAATTTCATTCTCAGAAAAAATATAGTAGAAACCCCTAACAAAGGGAAAGAGGGAAGATTGGTTTTGTTTTATGTTTTTTTTTAAATAAAGCAAAAAGGAAAAAAAATGCTGTTACTTGGGGTGGAAGTTTTAAAAGCTTCCTAAGTCACTTAAGAACCTAAGTCCCATTTACTTTCAGTGGGATTAAAGATCCTAAGCCACTTAAGGCTTTTGATTTTACCCTTGATGAAAATACGCTTGTTCTCCTATCTTCTGTTCTAGATTAGGCATGGAGCATGATGGCCAGGGCAACAGGTGTGGGGATGAGGTCCGAATGGGGAGCATCATGGCCCCTCTTGTCCAGGCTGCATTCCATCGCTTCCACTGGTCTCGCTGTAGCCAACAAGAGCTGAACAGATATCTACAGTGAGTAACTCATGAAGCTGACTCTGTCTTTGGCTAGGATGTTTTTAAAAGCTCCTCTGAGAGTCATATTTGAACTTTGTGCTTTTATTAGCTATTAAGACTGGGTTTTTAAAAAACCCCAAACCTCATCCTGCTGGGAACAAGACACTTTTCCAGGAGATGCAAATAACAAAGGCTCAGATTGACTATTCATTTAATTACAGCTATTATTGTTACTGAAATTTGATAATATGTACACTGTCATCCTAGAATCTGCAAGCAAATATCATTACTGGTCTTGTTACCAACTTGCTTCCTCCCACCCTGCAGCTGATGGAAAACCTGTCTCATTAATCTGAGTAACACTCTTCGGTTCTAAGGGTAGCTGGAGAATTGACTGCAACTCTGGTTGGTAGCAGTACGCGTCAGCAGCATTTCCAACTACTAAAGCTGGGCTGAGCCAGTTGCATTGTACTGTGATACTTAAGGAGGAAATTGTGCCCTTGGATGTGTGTGCAGGGCTCCCACTGACTTCAGTGACAGCCTTTCAAGAACACCAAAAGGAAGAATTTGGCCCTAAGGCTTTCTTTCTATGATCACTTTATCTTTAACTACCCTGTCATTACAAAGGCCAGTCCATTTCCCATGCTTTCTAACAGCCTTCCTCTATGTTCCTTTCCTCTTTAAAGGGAAACCATCAACTTGAAACTTAGTTTCAAAAAGCGAATAAAAAAAGAACTCCATATGCTTCTGTGTCCTCCTGTCAATGGATACATTTTTCCTATTTTAAAAAAAATCTTTTTTTCCTCTCTGGTCGCTGCGTAAAAGACATACAAACAACAGGGGGAAACCTATTAACTGACTATACCGGGAAAACTCTGAAAATGCCTAGAAAAAAGTTGCGAAATACACAAAATAAACAAATTAAAAAAACCCCACTCTTTATTTTCTCACTTCTTTTTAAGTTACGATATATGAAGTCAATTTAATATACAGTCCTCAAATAAAGAACACATCATATTAAACTGATAAGAACAGAAACTACACTTTGATCTTAGCTCCAAGTATATGAAGTGTTTCTTTTGGCAACAATATGTAAAAAATTATGAGGGGAAAGTGTGATTTTTCAATTAAATCCCTTTAAGCTATTTGTGTTAAATAAAAGTAATCTGGCCTAGAGCTCTGATTTATATTTTAAGCACAGGGTACAGTAAAATGCTTCTATGAATAAAAATATTGCACAGATAAGAGAAGAGTATGTCATCTTGTTCTAAAGTAGACCTAGACTCAAAATTCTGTCCTTTGTTCACTGAGATCATTAGAATGACCTGAATAATTGCCAGATATAGGACACTCCTAGTCTTTCTACAGAATCCACAAGGAATTTGATCCTAAATGGACTTTTGGTTACCATTTTTCAGAGCCAAAGAACTACTTCTGTGAATATGATGAATAATGGTAGAAAACATGAGAGGAAAATGATGGCCATAAAAACAGAGAAATGAGTTTGTTAAATTTAACTAATTTTGTGATGTCGCAAGATAATACTAGATTACATATGAATATAGCAGGGATACTGCCCACCATGTGACACTTGAGAAAGTAGCTTTGAAATTATTAAATTCACAGTTACACCATAGTCAACCATTACTTCTAGATCCTCTGTGCTCCAAGAGTCTTCCCCATGTATGCCTACAATGAACTTGAAACAATGTGTTTGCAGTGGGGACATACAAGTATTTAAGATACCAGGAGAATCTGTAATAGGAACACCTTCTCTCTCTCTCTCTCTGTCTGTCTCTCTCACACACATACACACACACACACTCTCTCTCTCACACACACACACATAGACTCTCTCTCTCTCTCTCTCTCTCTCTCAGGAAGGAAGCAAGCCCTGTCAGAATCTTGTAAAGAGAGGAAAGCTGTCAGAAGAAATATAAAGATGGAACAGTCCTACGGTTTAATAAAGCAAAGGCCAAAAACTACATTTGCTTGTATGTGAACTTGCATCTCCTGGTCTAGTGTCTAGGAATTTATTATGGAGCTCAGCAATATTCATGGGTGGCAGTCCTGAGATTTGCTTCTAAAGCTTTACTTAAAAGGCAGCAGGCAAGAAGAAATTCCACAAATGGAAAATTAATTAAATCTTTTCTTTTCTTCTCAGCCTCATTTGTAGAGGGTTCTTTCTCGATTCTTTTCAAATAGGGACTCTGGGGAGTTACAGAAATATACCTGCAAGCTAACTGGAAATTATAATGGAAAGACATAAGAAAAATAAAAGGTCGAATGCTGTCCCATGTTAAATGCAGATACAGCATGGTAAATACCATGTAAGCATAACTGAAATACTAACTGTTCTTTAGGAACCAGTATCTGAGACATTATACCCTGTATTTTGTTTGGAATGAAAATCTAAAGAAACCACAAATGCTATAAAAGTCTCACATTCCCGTCTGTTAGTGTAATTTTTGCCTATTGCAGTTCCTATGATTGTCTGCGTGATGATCCTTTTGAACATGATTGGCCTTCCCTTCCCCAGCTGCCAGGAATTCACTACTCCATGAATGAGCAGTGCCGTTTTGATTTTGGTTTGGGCTACATGATGTGCACAGCTGTAAGTACTTAGCTGAGTTCTGCTGTTCCTCATCCAGGAGTGTTGTAATTGTCCTTGAAATGGCCTTAATAAGGACATTATAGTTAGGGCTTCTGATTTTAGGTTTTAATGGATAAACACTGATAAACACACCCTGATGGGGGGGGGGGGAGAAGAAATCAGTGATTATCCAATAAACACAGGGAAAACACCAGAAATGGTTACTTGCATCTAAGGGCTTGTCTACACAGAGCAGTAATGTGGACTATGGAGGTGTGATTTCTAAAGTGCACTAAAGTGTTGCATATTAATTGGTCCATGTAGACCACACTTGTGTACACTAAAGGTTCTGCAATACACTTTAACCTAGTGCTACATTAAAGTGCACTAGGGAACATTACAAAGAAATTATTCATTACAGTATATACTGCTGTCATGAGTAATGTAATATATGTGACAGATATTGCAACTGCATGCAGTATCTTTGGGGAAACATTGGATTAAGGTTATGAATGATTTATGTATCGCTGTGGGCCAGAGATTATATGCAGTTCTGATGGGTGGGAGGGTTGTATTTAGCTCCTCCAGGAAGTAATAACAGTAGGGGGTGATTAAGGTAAATCACTCAGGTTGTAAACACCTCCAGAGAACTACCACCCCCTGAAGAGGCTTGCATATCCTGGTTCGAACTGGGTTTTCCGGATACCAATAGACAAAGGAAGGGCTTTTGGCATAACAACGCTTCTTTTAAACTAACTCTTTCTGATCCAGGACCTTCTCTCCAAGGGGAGCCCCAACCGTTGCAGAAGGGTTGGAAAGACTTTGGCCTGTTAGGGTCCCGTAAGACTGATGGGTGACTCCTGGTGTGTTTAGTGTATGTTTAAATCTGTTTATTGTTTCTATTACATTTTCACTGGAATGTTTTTGCCTTAAGAAAAAGGGTGCTTGCTTAGACAGAGCTGTGTGGTAACTTGTAACTACTGGGAATACCCTGGTCAGAGCTCTTGGAGAGAAAGCACAGGTGCTGGCCTTTAGGCAGACTGGCTTGCTGGAGGTATCACAGTGTAAGTTAGGGAGCTGTGCAGCCTAACTCATTCTCCCTCCCCCCTGCCCCCCCGTCAGAAGGAAGTGAGACAAGAATCCCTACCCATAGAAAGATGATGGCTGGAGGCCTGACACCTGATTGGGCACGCCTGGAGTGGACCGTGGAAGTGGGGAATATAGGTGACATTACCCTGAAGCTGTGACAATATATATTACCCATTACAGTATATACAAAGAGAGAGCCTCCCCAAACCTCTAACGTTTGAACATCTACATAAAACTCAAAAATTGCTACCTATAAACCTTGAAAATGAAATTAATAAACCCTGAAAAACAGAAGCCCTAATTATAGCGAAGCCTGCCATGAAGAATATTGTGTCCAGCTAATTATAAACGAGGAATAATACACTAACTTTGATATGATAAGGAAACTCTTTTTAATCTTGTTGGGTCTTTTATTTTTTTTAATCAGAGGTCAAGAAATTATTATGCTCTAATTTCATTAGCAGTTCCAGGCTTGAAACACAAAGCCTGCTATGTCATTGAGTCTGCCACGCACAGTGTTGGTGTCTGCTTACTTCTTTCTTTGCAAAACTTCCACCTAGGCTAGAGAGAAACAATAATGGTTTTCATCTCTTGCTTGTTTAATGTTTCACGCTTACTGCTCACACAAGGCGAGATGCTGCATCTTGCACAAAAATAACCAATTTTATTGAAAGGATGATGTATTATTGTTCCTAATGTGGGCAAGGGGTGCAGAAGGCAGATAAGACAGTTTGCATGCACATTCAGTGAAGCAGTGGTCTCCCTTGTACCCTGAACATAATACGCAGAGAGCATCTTTGAGGTCAGGCAGGATTAGTACAACTCCCTACTGGCTTGGCCTGAGGGTAGAGCTTTGCCTCCCACTTCCATCTCCTAAAAGTGGGACTAAACTGTAAGCTATGCAAAGAGGAGCTTCCAGGAGGTGTGGCAGCTGCTCACGCACAGTGAGAATTCTGGTTCGAAACTCATCAACGATAACATGCATGACAAACACAGCGACTCCCGACATTGAATAGGAGACTCTAAGCATCAGCTGTATTAGGATGTCTGGACATAATCCCGTTGATGCTACTCTGGGAGAAAGTCACTGGTATGTATTCTTTTGAATAGTACCTTCAAATAACTTCTATTGACCTAGTGGCCAATCTGTGTTTGAGTGAAATGGGTGAATCTCTACTCTTTCAACTTCTGCATCAACTCTGTTCACTTTCCCACTAAGGTACCAGTCTCTCAGGGACCTGTGCAAATGGGGCCTTTGTTTGCAGCACCAATTCAGCATAGTGCTAAATCCAGCTTTGTGCTCCACAGGTGTCTTCAGCAAGGAAGAGGGCTTGGGCAAACCATTCACACACACACACACCCAACCCCTCCCCACAGCAGTAAAGCAGCATGTGTACTTAGCACCCATGAGAACAGTAGACAAGGAAACCATCTTGCCTTTGCCCACCACAGCCCCAACACAGTATATAACCTGTTAGCTAAGGTGTCTGGTCAGGCCCTTTGCTGGCTAGCAATCACAGTGAAGTCCTGGTCCATGACTTAGGCTCCTAGGCATTGCAGTTATACAGATAAATAATGTCTACTGCCCTCTACTGCGTGCAGCTCATCACGTGGTGGCTAATTGCCCTTGTCCATTCTATCCTGTGAACCCACTCTCACATTTCCAGCATCACTCCACTCAGGGCAGGATTTCACTACAAGAGTCAGTGATGTTGCATGAAAACTCCACTCAAATGTGACCTGGCCACAGAGATATTATTAAATGGTCCTTATTACTCCATGATAACATCTGCCTCTTTTAAAGCTGGAAGAAAATAAACTGCAGAGAGTGTTTCTAATGGAATTCTGTCAGACAGCTCCAGAAGCAACATATACTCTGCTTTTTTGTGTGTCCTAGTTCCGTACGTTTGATCCCTGCAAGCAGCTGTGGTGTAGCCATCCTGATAACCCTTATTTCTGCAAAACAAAGAAGGGACCGCCACTGGATGGGACTATGTGCGCGCCTGGAAAGGTGAGACTATATATCACATTTTTTCATACTATTGGGCATACAGGTATGAGTTTACGTATTTGGGAGATTTCATCAGAGAATCAAGGAACAAGATGGCGTTGTTCTTTCTGGTTTGACCTCTGAATTTGTGTGCGATCTGGTCCACTCATTTCAGAGGCAATACGAAAAAGGACCACAACAGTGGTAACATTGGAGACTAAAACTTATGAAGAGAAAATGTTCACTAGTAGTCCTCAAACTATGGTTCACTGCAGACCACCCAGAAAAGACTGACAAAGTTGTGAATTGGGAGGATTGTATGGATACGATTCAACTGCAGATGCCAGTGTCTTGTAAAGTGGTCTATAGAAGAATAGATTTGGATAGTCATTGTTATATAGTATAAAAAAGAGAATGCACAAAGAGGGGCTTAGTATCATAATACCTTTCAAGTCAGTAGCTCATAATATTTGGCACTTACTGTTTTTCATCTCTACAAACTTTAACTCTTCCTCACATCACTCGAAAAAAAGTATTTTAATCTAACTGAATGGAGGGGGGAAACTGAGGAAGACAGTTTAAGTGTTTAGCTCAAAGCTGTAGGGGAAGTTAAGTTGAGAGCTTGCTTAGAACTAAGGAGTTCCAGGGGCCCCAGTTTGGCCAAAAGTATTGGCTTTTGCATTGCTAGTAAAAATCTAATTATCTAAGAGATGGGATAATCTGAGCTGTGAAGAAAAGTCGAGAGAGAAAATAAGGTTGCAGCAACATGAGGTCTGGAGCTAGAGATTTGTGCTGATCTGTTCTATGTAACATCTGTCTAGCGGTCTAACCTGTTTTCAGTACCAGTCCTTGTAGTCTCTAGGCATTGAGCTTGGCGGCTGCGGCTCTGGTGCCCGGGCCCGAACCCCCCGGACCTGCTGCAGGGACCCAGCAGCACACACGCTGCACCCAGCCCCTGGCCAGTCACGTCTGGGCTGCTGCCCAGCTGGTGCTATCCCGCGGTGGCCCCGGAGTGGGGGCAGCAGGCCCCAGCCCCCCCGTCCTTCTCAGGTCCCACAGAGAAACAGGCTCGGGGGGGTTGGGCCCGGGCGCCAGAGCCGCAGCCGCCGAGCTTGGCCATTGGCCGCTTCCTCCCCCCGCGGCAGTGGGAGCTGCAGCAGCGGCTGCTCCCAAGTCCCGCTGCCCAGGGGGGAGAACAGCTGCCGCCTGGCCCTGAGGGCCGCCACCCTCCTCTCCCTACCACCCAACTGAGTCCTGCCTGCACTTGGGGCCAGGCCGGACTCTCACTCACCCCGGCCCCACACTCCCCCTGTGTCTCCCGGGCCTCCCTCCAGCGCTTGCGGAGGGAGGAGGAATGGTGAGCCTGGGGAAGAGGCGGGGATTCGGGGAGGGAGCCAATGGGGGGAGGAGCACTTCCGGGCTCCGGAGCATTTCCTTGTTTGTCCAGTGTCCCGACCGCACATCGGTCAGGACGCGGGACAAACAAGGAAATATCGGGACAATCCCGATAAAATCGGGACGTCTGGTCACCCTAGCATTGATAGAGCAGTACTTATTTGCAGATCATAGTGATACGGTCACAAGAGGAGTTATTCATTTGCAAACAATCTGTCATATAAGTGTGGCTGTGTTTAGACCACTAGTGATGCTTATTGGCAGCCATGGCAACAGAAAGCAATAAGATTTCAAAGATTACAGTTGAACTAAGCCCACAGTAACGATAGTCAGAGCAGCCCAAATGAAAGTATAAGCATGATGGGGAAAGCACAGCAGGTGTGGGAATTCAGGCTGGATACACGAGAGAGGTTGCCTTAGCTTTTGAGTCTTTTGACAGTCGCTTCAAAAGAGGATGGGACTATGAGACCTATTCAAGGGCACCAATATGAGAGCAACTAGTGACTATTATGAGGGCAGAAGCCAGAGCCCATTGTGAATGCTATTGGGGAGGGGAAATATTGGAGGCTTATTTAGTGGTTCGCAGGGAGCAAAGGGAAATATTAGGAGTTTTGGAAGTGGCGAGAGAAACTTACAGATGGCAAAGGTTTGGGCTAGTTCCTATTCTTTTGAAACCACACTTTATTCAGCCCTACCATATAGTAATTATCAGTTACCCTTTTATAGACCTAACTACATGCTCATTAAGGGTCTGATCCCAAAACCCATTAACGTTAATGGAAACACTCCTCCTGTCATCCATGGGCTTTGGATCAATCAGTCTATACAATGACCCTTTCGGGGCAGTGTTACCACTTGGAACGGATTTTTCTAGAGGATGTTAAAAGCAACATACCGTTTCCCCAATGGACAGCATAATTTATACAAGTAAATCATGTTAGCAGCTGTTGCTATGGTTTGAACCCTCTCTTTTTGGATAAAAATGTCATGTGGTTCTAAATTCTTTCCCCCTGTACACTGTGGTGTGCTGGAACCCAATCTCTTCTCTTTTTCTCCTCCCCAGATGATTCCTATTAATTAACACCATATTGCCTGTGGGAAATGTAGCAATAAAACTTGAAAAATTAAACCCCAAACCTAAGACAACATTTTTAGTTAATTAGCCAGAATGTTATTTTTGGTTAAAAATATAAAATTAGCTATTTATGCAATTAATAAATCTAACAAAAATGCAGTATTGAACATAATCTATACTGGAAAATGGTTACTTGTTTAACTGTTATTACTGTATAGCACAACATTTTAATGTCAAAATAATTGAATAAATATGATAAAAAAATGAGTTTCATTCCAAATATGTTGGAGACAGGCTTTTGAAAGCAATTCAGAACAAACTTTACTAATTGAACCTGCCTTGGTTGGTGAGAAGGATGGAGGTCTCTTCTATTTCTCTTTTCTATGACTGTAGTTAAGCATTTTTATGTTACCAGATTGCTAGTGAGCAGAGAGAGAAAGAGAACTGGCAAATGGGAGCCATCCATAATAACTAGCAGGAGAAGGTTGAGTTTTGACTGCCATCAAAATTATACCCGTTGGTTATATGGAAGATAATAGTTATACAGTTATACCATAGATAGTAAGTGAATTGTCTGTTGTTCTCTTACCGAACTGGCACCTTTTGGAACAGCAGATATGACTGTATGCATTTGGGATGAAGTCCTGGCTTCACTGAAGACAACAGCAAAGCTCCCATTTCACCCTTGGTAATTTACTTCATTAGACAATTAGTTAAGGCAAGGATAGCTGCCATTTTGTCACTTGTTAAGTGTTCAGCATTCCTTTCTTGAGTCCTACCTTGAAGCACGTCAGCCTTTAATAATTTGGAGCTTCATCTGGAAGAAGGTTAAAAAAACCCAGAATTTCATCTTTTCTCTGACAATAAAAACTACTTTGCTTGGTCTTCCATGTTTCACATGGATGGACAGAATACACGTGTCTAAGATCTGCAATATGATTTTGCATTAAATGTTTTTATGAAACCAGAGAAAAATATAATTATTTTTCTTTTGCTAGCTCTCCCTTCCTCACGGCCCATCAGTTCATTTTAGTACTTCACACAAAAATTGAAAGAAACAAAGGACATTAACAAACTATAATAGCCTGGCGCTTCCAGCCAGATCGTTAAGGATCAGCCAATGTTTCCATTGTAAACGAAGATCTTCAGTACCTCAGCTGAGATGTTGCATACTGCGTTTCAGACCAGAGAAAATTTTTACAGCTAACTCTATAAATTGGCCATTTTTATAGTTATGGGGAGATTGAAGAGAGTTTATGCATATTTGAAACTTTAGTAGATAATAGAATTATAATCATTTTATCCCTAAGGACACTGTTCCAGATTTTTTTGGTAAACATTTTGTATTCTTCCAAGAGATCCTTAGAAAATTATATAAAATTAAAAAATACATTGTTAACTAATATTAAAAAGACTGAGTTTAAGCCTTCTTCACAATAGCATGAGTTTTAAAAGTGTCCTTAAATTTGAATTTGCTGGCTCTAAATATGAACAATATATTTATCAGGAAGGTGATGGTACTTGGTGGTTCTGAATACAGGCAAATCAGATGAACTCCCTGCCATCTTTTCCTTGCCTCTTTGCCCTCTATTTTTGTTGCTATCACCACCCACTTTGGACCATACCGAGATCTCTGTTATATAACAGATTATGTTGTGAGGGTGTGATTGTACCATTTACACAGCACAGAGAGATGAGAGTCAAGCCCTACCTTTGCAATTTCCTTTTATATGAAATGGAAGGTCCCACATTCCTTACTACCTGATCAGAGTCTGAGGAAGAGGAAAATAACTTGAAACTTTGTCCACATATTTTCTTTGGAATAATGTCAGGCAAAAAAGGAACAATCATAAATAATTAACTAAAGGTGTTGGTTCAAAAAGATCCATTTGTTTCCCATTTCTGAGATTTGCAGCTATCACCACTAATTGAAGTGCCCCACTTTAAGATGGGCCAATCTAAACACTACTGGTGTGTCATGAAAACATTCTGGCTTTGCAACGGCCGATGGAACTGAATGCCAGAACTGGTTGTGATGTTGTTATGGAGACTAACCCAAGTTAAGGGACAAAGATTTTCACCAGAGTGTTGCTTGCAGAGTACTGATAGCTGCTCTCTGAACTTTTCTAACCTCAGTTGATGTTACTGAACAGAATCTAATCTAGCCTGTCCTCTCCTTCACTGAAGGAACTGTCAGGGGACCAAGACCACCTACGATAGAGACTAGCTAACTAGAACATTTTCAGCAGATGTTGTATGGCAGCATAATAGTCTTTGTTCTGAATTCCCAGCCCATATCTTGGACACAGCTCTGAGATTAAGTAGTGAAAGGAGGACAAACTGTTACATTTTCTAATGTCTTACATATTTGTCTGATCCAGCAAGATTTACCAAAATTCATCCATAGTTTCCAACAGCAGTCTTTTGCCTATCAGTTTATCTTCAAATGCTTCCATCTGAAGTCCAATATATATGTAGGAATTATTGGAAATAATCACGCTAAAGAGTTAGATTTTGCCACTTCCAGCACTTTCAAATGGATTTCCATTGG